AGAGTGACCAGGAAAGTACCGATATCGCGGTTTCGGTCAATAGGCGCGGGATCCAGGGCCAGCTGGCCGAGAACACCGATACACTTGACACTGAGGGATTGGAAAGGATCCTCTAAGTTCTGAGCAGCAGGTGAACCCTTTGTGGCCTGGTAGAGAGCGATGAAGCGGCGGTGCTCATCAGCGAAAGGTGTGTTGGGTCTGCCTCGCAGAGAGCGGGCAACACCCCAGGCAAGACTGGTGACATGAGTTGCGAGGTCGATGTCAGCAGTATCTGTTGCGAGAATAGGAGCGATGACTTGGGTCCAGAGAGCGCGGCCAACGGGGTCCCAGGCATTTTGAATAGGGGCGTTGTGAAGGTCACTAAAGTCGATGAGGGAGACGGACCAGGCGATGTTGTTGAGAGCGGAGAGGGCGTGGCCTTGCAGGCGAAGGGAAGCGTCGTCGGTGGGGGAGAGGGATGCTATGCGGATGAGCTCAGGAAGGGCATTGTCGATGAGGGTCTTGAGGATGGGGAGATCATCAATGTTGCTGTCTTCCTCGTTTCTGTCCGCACCGGTAACCATCTCCATGTCGGCTTCCAGCTCATCGTCGTCCATCTCGTCATCGTCTTCCTCACCTCCCTCCTCCTCACCGTCGGAGATCTCTTCGTCTGCATCGCCCATCTCTTCATCATCCTTTGCCTCGGGCTTGTCATCCTTTTGGGGTTCGGCTTCAGCTGATGTGTTCAATGTTGTTCCAATAGAAGCCAAAATCTCAAGAGCAAGCTGTTGATACTCGACGGGGTTGGCCCAACCCACAGCGTCGGCCATTTGGCCTGGCTCAAAGGTCTTGAGAGCTTGTGAAAGAGTGGGGATAAGAAGTGAGTTATCGGCTCCAAGAGCAATGTCCTGACCGTCGAGAGAGGAAAAGAGGTTGTGAAGGACACCACAGGCAAGGACACCATCGCTGTTGGCGGTCTTGCGCAGGGACAACAAAGTGCCATAAGTGCGGTACTCCTTAGAATTGACAACCTTGTCAGATAGCTCTTCGTTATCCTCACAGAGGATCATGAGACAAGCCAGAGCATCGCTTCTTAGTGAGACAACGTCGGGGTTGCTGGCGAGCTCATCTGAAGTGAGGAGCAAGAGGAAACGGGTGATGGTGGTGTTGCGGGAGATAGCCTCAAGGATCTCGTCTTGAGCTTCGGCGAGAGCAGTGAGGAGAGAAATTAGTGATGAAGCAATGCTGAGAATTGTAGCTTGTTCAGGCTTTGAACGTTTTTGGAATTCGAGGTCCTTGGAGAGGAGCATCTCAGTGATCTGTTGAGGGTTAGTATATGGACCATGTTGGAAGAGTAAATACACTTACCGATTTAGCAGCAAACTCAATAGCAGTGAGGACATCAACACGATAAAGGTGAATACAGAAGTCAGGCTCCTCCTCCTGCGCAAGAATCCTCAGAATTCCCCAACCAGCAGCACGACTCTCAAGAGCAGCATCGGTGAGAGTCTGTGTAGTGATGGTATGAACAATCTGCTCACGCAGAAGCAACTTTCGGCACTTCTCATCTTGGATGATGTTTGAAATAGCAGAAGCGGCAGCAGAGCGAGACTTTGGGTCGGCACTCTTGAGGTCGTTGATGACTGGGAGAATCTTTGACTCGCGAAGGACAGCAAGTTCAGGGTCTGAAGGGGGCTTGACTGTCTTTACGATGGGGTCTTTACGGGCTGCGTGGCCACGGGTTCTTCGAGATTTTCCCATTGTAATATTATTTGTTGTCAAAAGAAAAAGAAGAAGAAAAAAGATATTGTGTAAGTTTCACTGCGAGTTGAGAGGCGGCTAAAAATTTACATGAATATTTTGCGACGACGAATTGAATCGTGCCCCACCATGAAAAATGTCCCGAGTTAAGCCTGACAAGGATTGTTTTAGACTCAGCGACCACAAATCGAGTGGCAGTTGCCATTAGACTGGTTCAGTATATAAATTGTGCTGGCCTAACCAACATTCTATACACTCGAGCTTGAATATCACTTCTTCCAGCCCTGTCTCTCCTCGTTTGCTTGGGTTCTAGACATGATGGTTTTGATGTGAGTGAGACAGCCTCGTGAGGATCTTTCTCTAAATACATGATATTATTAAGCATCGGTATTATCATCATGAAACCTTCTGGTTGCCCAGAGACAACCTAAAACTGTTTGCAGAAATTGGGCGTATAGTTGCAGTACTGGATTTAGTTAGCCTAAAGGACCTGAAGTTCACTGAATGCTAGCACCAACCAAACTGCAACAGTGACGAGACAAGCACGAGCCACGCTGTTCTAAGGTCCTGTCCTGGGGAAACAAGGGTCAGCAACTACCTAGGATGCTCTCCGTCATCCTCCATCATCTTCAATCCTTCAATAATCCTCATACATAATCATTCAGAACAAGCGTCATTTCTTTTGTTACACTCACCCAATACATCGCGACTGCGATTGATCCCTCCGCATGTTTATAACCGCCGTATAAGTACCTGTCTCTTGCCAGGTAAACTTCAACAAGCTAGCTCCCATGAGCTCTATCTATCCGTCCTCTATCGATCCTTGAGCTCCATACGTTTCCGATTGACGACAGCTATACCACAACACCATGACGCCTGCACGCGGCAGAACAAAGGCGCGCTTCTGGGCAGGGGATGAGGAGATGGCCAATAAAAAAGACGACGACCTTCACCTCCCAGGGCATCGCTATCATAACTCGGGATCTGGTCCTCAATGGCAAGCTACGCCGCGTGCTCCCCGCCGTAGCTCCGTCGGTCGCCTTATTTCGTACCTAGTCTTCATATCGATCGTCTTCTTCATAATATACAATTTTGTATCGTCCTACGAAAGCTCGACAGATACAGCATCAGAGAGGTCTGCGCCGGGGCGCAAACAGGGACAGGATAAGGTCTACCATAGGGGACCTCTCAAATTCCCAGAGCTCGCAGAGACGTTGCGCAACATTCAAGGGACCGGCGGCGCTTATGAGAGGAACAAAAACGTTCTATTCGCTTCTTCCAGTATCAACAGCGCCTCTACTCTTCTGCCAATGGCTTGTCAGATGTCGGCGCAAGAAAAGAACCATGTTCATTTTGCGCTTATGAGTAGGGAAGAGGTTCCTATCAAGGAACTTCTGGAGATAAACGGCATCGATAAAAGCTGCAAGATATATGTACACGGTAGGAGCTTCTTCTCAATGCTACCAGACCTGTTATCTAATTATTTGTCTAGATGCCCGCACTGACTATGCTTCCACGTCTTCTGAGTTAAGGCTGAAACTCGCTGCTATCCGTGCATTCTGTAAGCTCCAATTCGATCCATCGGGTTGCACATTCGTCTAACAACATGGTGTCCAGTCTACGTTGAGAACTTCATGCACCCTCAGGCAATTATTGTTGACTCTACTCAGAAGGAAGAAGATTACTTCCTCCAAGCCATAAGGGATCAGATCACTGGGACGAAGTCTGCTCTTATAGAGCTGCCGGAAAAGCCTGAAACTCGTCTTGCGTGGATCTCCAAGCTTGACGCCTCAGCATTGGCTGGTGAGTAGCTCGCCTCACTTCTCATTACCATTTACAGTCACTAACTGCTATTAGCCTGGAACAAGGTGCATTTCGACATATTAGTCCAGGCACCTCTGATTGGCACAGCCAATCTACAAAGACTACTCACGTCGCTGCGCAAGGCAGATAAGAGTGCCCTGTCGGTTCCCCAGCTTACAGTTGAGCTGCCTCCAGTTGTAGAGAAGCCATTGGAAAACTTCTTGTCTGGTTTCCATTGGCCTTCCAAGGCTTCTGGTCAGCTCCCTCAATCGCAGATGCTCTCTCTCCGTCATCGAATTTCGTCACGGAAAATGGACGAGGAGGAGAGCTCAGTTCGATTTCTAGAATCATTCTGGCCAAGTAAGCCGTCACACAATCATGTGCTTGTCTTGGCAGCTCACACTGAGGTCTCACCTCAATTTTTCAACTGTAAGTGATGGTCCATACCTTAACCCGACGGTACTGACATAGCCAGATGTGAAATATACCCTTCTACATAGCCTATACTCACCCTCTTCCATTCTTCAGGACTGGAATGAGAACATTATGGGCATCAGTTTTCACTCTCCTAACACTCTTCTTGATGATACAACACCCCTAACAGTCCCACCAGCTGATGGTGCCGACGAAAAGGACGGTTCCAGTCCCTTCTTTTGGCAGGCCCCAACCAGCGATGCTGTTCTGTTCATGGGAGACAAGTGGGTTGAGCTGCATGGCTATGTGTCACGCATTTTAGAAAAGCAGCAAACAGGAACAGAAACGCCAGCCTTCTTAGCCAAGAAGAGCACGAGCAAGAAACATCCGGCCTGGTTAGAGTATGTACTCCAACTATCACAGCTTCGGGGATATGTGACTCTCTACCCGAGACCAGAAACGGCGAGCACTATCTTGGGAGCACACAGTGACCTCCCTAATACTCCAGAGGAGTACTTGGGTGAAGGCGATGAGAACGACAAGAACGGAGAAGCAGATAGCGCAACTTCCAAGTTCGACCCAGCGTCCCCAGTTGACATGCTCACAACACTACCTCGTGAGGGTGACCTGCTGGCGTTAGGTGACTTGCCACTCATTTCATGGAATGGCAAGTCAACATCCCTTGCAGAGCTTGAAACGACGTCAATGGAGCTTACAAAACAATTCCGTCAAGAGGTCGGCGGGTGTCCACCGAGTGCCATAAACGATGAGGACGAGTTTGGACAGCCGAGGCGCAACAAAGACGCCAGTGATCTCTTCTGTAAGAACAAGGGCACGGCCAGTGCGGATACAGCGACTGAAGCCAAGGATATCAAAGAGGCAGCGTAACGAATTGCTGTTCACAGCCGGAACAAAGATATGGACGGCTTTCATTTCCACTATCTATTGTATGGGATTTTGCATGGTTGGTACTGGAAGCTTAGGCGCTATTGAGTAACGAATATGTATTGATGCAATTTCAAGGACTGTTTTGAGTACATATGTCAGGAATTGGATGATGATTGTTGTCGAATCTTGGCAATGACCAGCAGGATGAGACATGTGCCTATGATTGAGACCGCTGTGAGACTGAATACCTGTGTGATGTCAGTATACAATCACCACATTTGTCATACATTGACAACTTACTGCATGGGTCTTCCAACCAATCTGTACAATAGCCGCCCGTTTGCTGTACTTATTGACCGTTGCTACACAGAGCGTTAGTTTCGTGCATGTGCTACAGCAGAGTAACACTCACTTATATAGTTACCCATTCCTGCAAACAAAGTCAAGACTGAAAGTCCCCAGAATATTGTCCCGAGAGGTTTTGCCATGCGCAACTCTAACGGTGTGGCCTCGTTCTTTAGATGGAATGAAAGTGTGATGGCTACCGAGACGATGGCCATGTAAATTGATAACCGAAGGTATGAGAGGAACGCTATAAACAAATATAAGACTATTGTGTGAAAGAAACAGCGGAAGAGGATATGTACTTCTCTCATTGGCGCAGTGATCTCGCGCATCGCTGCTCTCGTTCTCTACTATCAATGGTCCAAAGATTGGCCAGTGAAAGAAAGGTCTGGTTTCCGCCTCGCTACAGACACAAACTGTAAGCTATTTAATTCATCAAGTCCTCTGGTGTAAGTTTCACCTACTCAAGCTCACTGAAATCAATGGGTCGAGCTAGGTTTGTTATAGGCGCGCAGCAGGCATGGATGGTGAGGTCTTCATCATCGATATTCGCGTCATGAGAAGCCATTTCAACCATATGATGTACAAAGAGTGAGATCAATGAAAGAGGCCGTGAGACTGGTATTGATTGATGTACTCAAACCTCACGAGACGAATGTGAGCATGTAAGGTTGTGTGTTAGTAGAGGAAGGTCGATTTGGTTGGTGGTATCGGGGCTCGGCCGGATGCTCCATTTATACCGATTACCGGGCTTCATTTCAGCATCACCAATTACCCTATAGCAGAATCTAAAATGCTATCATATTAGCATCAATGACGTGACGTTTGAAGTTCTTCACTTTGTTCGTATGTCATAAAAATTTTAATTTATCTTGAGTCTATCTCAGATGCTCTCTAGTTATTTTTGCTATCACTGGTTTGTCTATTTTCAATATGATAAAAAAACAAGCAGGCTCAGCACGTTATGGCACATGCCCGTACAACCTAGACATAGCGTAGATCACGTAAACCATTGCCTTACTTTAGAAACCCCATACCTCATGCCATCTATTCTCGTCGGTTCTCAATGGACCATCAAGTCGTCCGAATCTTGCTGCTCGTCCCGTGTTGGCTTCAGGAAGACACAGCCACTCTCTTACACAGTCTGGCACCTCCTCTTTGACATGAGCAATGCAGATCAGTGCTTGCTGGTCAGAGAGACCTGGGATCTTGACCTGACCAGACTTGGAGGCGTCACTCTCGACGATATCTTCGCCTCGATATGTTTTAGCCTCGCCTTGCTCAAGGAACAGCGTGCACTTGTCTCGTACTGCTTCATCCATGCCGCTAAAAGCTTCATCAAGAACCACAACGTCCGGGCTCTTGATCATGGATCTAACGAAGAGCGCAACACGTTGTGCACTGAAAGATAGGCCACCAAACATGTAGTCATCTGCCCAGGAGAGGTTCTCGTGTGATGCTGAAGAATAGCTAGGATGTAGTTCAGGAGCAAACCAGCGAAGAGCCGCCTCTACCTTTTCTTTGGCTTCATTGTCTAGCTTCGGTTTCGCTCGAAATGTTTCTGACCAAGCATTCTCAATCACCTGGCGCACCGTCAAGTTCCGAGGCATGTGCTGATGAACTTCGGGACTCGAGTGACCAATCCGGGACTGGATGTCCCAGAATGTAAGTGGCCGCTGGCCTGAGCCAGGTTCTGGAAGACGAGATCGCCCGAATATCTTGATGGGAAGAGAGTAAGACTGAGGATGATCCGAGCAGAGCAAAGATACTATGGTTGTTTTCCCTGAACCATTAGGACCAAAAACTCCCCAACGCTCACCACGTCGAACCGTCCATATCAAACCGTCTTTAGAACCGCCAGTGGTTTGCTGCGTCCAGTTACCTAGCGCGACCTTCCCACGATACTGAACTTTGCAGCCATCCATCTCAATGAGCGACTCAGCCTTGGGATCTATTGGTTCAAGCTCCTGATATGATGCCCCCCCTAGATGACCGGAGCCTTCTGTAGAAGCACTTGATGGCAGTACACGACCGATATCAACAAGTGAATGTAGCGGTAGCTTCTCATCTTCTGTAAGCCCAGCTTTTCGGACTCCACGGATGTACTTCTTAAGACCGTCGAGAACTTCCTCCTTGGGCCCCATGGATCCCACTTGGCAGTCTGTTCTTAGATACACGAGGTGGGTGATCCAGTCAGGGACAGGATCCTGTGGTCGTGCACTAAGAACAAGACGCGGGCTTGCTTTCTCAGCCAGCGAGTGTAGTAATGGGCTTAAACCTGAGACTGTAGGCGGGTCCAACCCCATGAAAGGCTCATCAAGTAAGAGCACTTCAGGCTTGGTAAGAAGTGCACGAGCGATACGTGCCCTTCGACCTTGCCCGTTACTAAGGAAGGATACAGGAAGATCAAGCAGGGGCTCAAGCTTCAGGTCCTTCACAACTCGAGATAGAAGATCCGGCGAGATAGTAGCCTCATCATCGCCGGGTTCCGTCTTCATGGGATTAAGCTCTGTGTTACCCAAGAGGAAATCCCTTAGTGAGAAGTCCGTAATCTCTCGTCTCGACTCATACCGCGCTGAGAGATATGCACTCGTTGCAACACCACCACCCAGCCCTCCTCCAGTCTGCTCACCATCGAAACCCACATACTCAATTGCCTTTTGCGGCGTTCGTAACCGCTTGGGTACTTCCTCAGTAGAAAGGTAGGGATATGATCTCGCGACAGGGGGTTCGCAGAGGAACCTACCCCTCAAAGCTTGAAGAAACGTTGTTTTACCAGACAGAGATGGGCCTACAATACACCAATTTCGAGGCGAATTTGATGTAGAAGGCAGCTCGAAGCTCAAGTCACTAAAGAGAGGTGGGTTTGGACGTGATGATGCTGAATTTGGATGATGGCGATAGAATGTGCCATTGGCAATCCGAATGATCGGAGGACGAGTCGGAATAGGTCTCATGATGATATTCGAGTGTCTCTGAATAAATAGAGACTCATTATAAATGTAAAGTAAAGGATGTTGTCTCAAAGCGAAGTCGGAATCTTTAAGTAAGTGACCATGTCTGCGTGGGTCTCATCGAGAAGGAGCTGGGGTTAGTGATACGTACCTTCTGCCGCACCTGCAGCTTACTCCCCGGAGTCGGGAAAAGGTACGTACTCTCAGAGTGCGGCAACGCCAGCGCAAGGCTGCCTTAAGCTGGAGCTTTCATCATCAACCGCACATTGAGCCTCCATCTATCAAACAATCCACCCATCAACGTCGCGTCATCTCCGCCACGGGAACGGTCTCAGACAACCCTGCAATTCTAACGTAACGACACATATTTCTTCCACCGCACTTACTTCCGTCAAGCAACAATCACATCCTCCAAAATGGTAAGCCTCAGCACCACCCATCCTCTATATCATGAGAGCTAAATCTTCCCTCCACAGTCTCAAGCAATGCGCATCGTCCCCGGCAACTCCAACGCCCAGACCTACACTCACATTTCGCACACATCCTCCGCCCCTTCCGCCCCGGGCATCCACGATACTCTCCGCCACGGTGTCGGCGCATCCCCCTTCGACTCCAAGTCCACACCTGCCTCTGCTCACCCCCTCGAAGCCCGCCTGAAGAACTGGGAGGCTACTCAGGAGGCTCTCAAGATGGAGACACTTCGACGCACCTACGGCATGGCTGAGCCTATTCGACGCGGTATGGAGCTCAAGATTGTTCAGAACGGCGAGTGGCGGCCCATGGCCCTCGGCAATGGCCTTCCCAGCGTTCACGAGGATATTCTTAGGGGCCGCGATACTACCATCACCTGGGAGGATGTCTTCACTGGCGATGAGACAAGGGCTATTGCTGGATTCCACGACGAGATGGAGAAGAAGCTTAAGATCCAGTAAAATATGCGGTTTGGTTGTCTCAAAAGGAAGCGACGGCATAGCCATCCTTGTTTACAATAATTACAACACTTTAGACAGGCTCAACACAGTTAACGACCAAGAGAACCAATGCTGGTTCTTCTACTGAGAATGTGAGACCAGGCAAGCCGCAACATAAATTCTTTCTATACTGCTATGAATGCGCTGTGGTTGATAAACGTCGACAAATATGCCGAAGCGAAGAAGATTACAGGACAAAAATACAATCAAACCCATAACTCAGAATACATGATGATACGCCAATGTAGACTCCGGTGTCCCCGTCTCCCACAGCAGAATCGCCATACGATTCTGCTGATAAATACAATAAACCAAGGAAAGATTATAAGGAATGAATGAGTGTCACCCGAATGCTCATCAACTAAAGTGAAGACTACGGTGGCTAAAAAGACCCCGCCGACTCAAAACGTTGAGTGCATGAGAGTCTTTGGACTTAGTTCTTCTCATGAGAGCATGCGTTGAGCACAGTCAGTCTGGAAGTTGCCTGTAGTCAAAAAAGTAGCCTTCACTTATAAAATGATACAGCAATTGCTGTCCCGCGAACGTTGGCCATCACCACCGCTCGATGAAAGGTTCTTATTTCCCGCCTTGGGTTCTTCCTCATCAAGATCCTGTGGCCGAATGCTCATATGTACAACATTGGGGCTCTCGGTTGAAAGTTGATACTCTATTGAGTGGTCAGCAAATGATATCCTCTTGTCTCAGGTCGACGCTGCGCCTTACTTTTCAATTGCTCCTTATCGTCCAAAAGCTTTCCGAAGTGAATGAGTCTAATGCTGCTGGGACTTGCTGGTTTTGCCTCCCAATCACTGCGCCATTCGCGCAATATTAATTCCTTGAGGGTGTAAACGCTGATGCTGAAGGGATCCGGGAGGCCACTCTCCGTCTGGTCTGGGATATCCACGCTCCTCCGACTCAAGTACTTGGCATCAATCTTGTACGGATGTCGGCTTCCTGAAGTAAGGAGAAGGGTAATGTTGCAAACGGGTCCGTCGGAAGACCCCCCTGAAATTTCTCTAATGTCATCCACAGCAGGTCCAATGCCCAGATTTGAGTCTTGCTTAGTTGGCGGTGGAGGAGGAGCTGTATCCTTCTCCTTTCCCTTCGATGAGGCTGCTGCAGTGGCTTCTGAGTTATCGATGTTCTCGGATGTAGTTGGCACAGCTGTAGACGGTGCTGGTTCAGCTGCAAAGGTTTTATCGGCGGCTTCGGGGGCGTGATCGGCAGGTGTCTGCTCGGAGGGCTGGGCAATGTTTTCCATGGCTACCGCATCGTTAGGCTGTTCAAGCCGTGAAGTTTCAACTGGCGCAGCCTGACCACCACTCATGGTGGAGTCCGCTGGAGCCGACATACTGGGTGAAGGGTGATGGAGGCGCGGTAAGGATGTGATCTGAAGTCACGCCACGCAAGAAAGGGAAGAACGCGAGAGGAGAAGAGGTGTAAACGAGTGGTTCGTTCGCTAGCAATGCGATTCGTTGCGGATTTTGCGATTATTTGAGGACACCGGATCAAAGATGCGTTTGAAAATGAGGAATGCGAAAGTGGATGGAAATGGAGATGTGGATGAATGTGGTCGGTATCCGTAGCGTGGCCAGGTCTTGGGAGCAAAAGTAAAAGACGTCAAGTTCGCTGGGAAGATGGCTAAGGATGGATCGCCCAGGCCGGGGGCCGCAAGACCGGGGGTGGGGCAGTGAATGGCCCGGAGTCTCGTCCACTCAGATAAAACGCTCAGACATAAAGCAAATACAAATGCAACGCGACAACCAGACAGTTGAGGAACGCGGGTCTGCGGTACGTAGTGGCAGTGAATCGTTGCGTGGTGCAGCGCTGTACTTCAGGCAAGCTACTGGGGAGACAGTGAGCAAGCAAGTGAACAAGCGAAGCAAAACAAAACAGCCAAGAGAGCCCTGGCGGCCAGCGGCTGGAGCGTGGAGCCCGTGTGGAGTGAGAGACGGTGCAACAAAGTGGACTTCTCTTCTCTTTGGTGGTGTCGCTGTCGCTGGACGCTTTGCCTGACAGGGAACGGGGAACGAGGGGGCGCTTGGCTTGAGCTAGGTAGACGACTCCCTTGCAATTGTCGGAAACGATAAAGTGACAATGACGAGAGACAAAGTCAGGCAGGGCGAGTCGGCAGTGAAAGGGGCCGCGCCGCTTTGTTGACAGTTATTGTCGATCAGTTCAACGAAGCCGGATTCCAGGCACACAATTGATAGCAGAGATAACGAGACCGTTGAGAGTACCGGCAAAGTCGGTTACCGGATACACGATAAATCCTAAATGCGAGAAAGTAAGGTACTGTACGTATAAGAAAGCCAAGATAGCCAAACAAGGTAAGTTCCAGCCCAGACGGAGGTGACGACACCAAATACAGTGCTGTATCCGTGATCCGTAAACTACTTGGCGGGCAGATATTGGCGCTCACTCAAAAGTTCAGCGAGTCGATTTGTGTCAGTCGGAGGTATTGATTATTCAGTGATAAGAATGAATCAAACTGAATGAGAGCATTGTTTGTTCTTGTTTTGTTTGTGAAGAAGACAATAGCAAGACTCGTGATTAACAAAGTTAGAGGATGTGACTTGCTAAATGAACCTACCACACGCAACGGACGGCTAGTGAGGTGAGGTGAGGCGAGGCAGTTAGTTACCCTCAGTTCCGTTCGGTAGGCTTGCTGGCAAAACGGAAGGTGAGGTACCAAGTAGCTCTAGAGACACAATCTGAGTCGGGCAGGTACATAAGCAGTAACAAAGTCAGTAGAACGCTAGAGAATGATTTCACTTATGTCATGACGATTCTAAGAGAATTCTATAGCTGCGGCCATCTCCCTTCTAGAGCTGGGAGTCTTTATTAATGAATTTCAAGTTTCATTCATTCCATTGGCAACCTCAGCAAGATGCCATAATGTAGGTACCGACTTTATTTTCACCAGTTGATAAGGTAAAAGCCACTGGAAGGTAGAAAGGTGGCGGCTACGGAAGCCGGCTGTGCCGCTTCCAGGCGACTTAGCCCAGACCAAACAGAATGGAAGACCTCAGCGCAAGTCATCTGTTTGGCACACTGTATTTGAGAAAGCTATTGAATCTGGAGAACGCTCTATAACGCCTGTTACTACTCATGATTAGGACAAACATGATGAATATCTGTCGTCTTATCTCTAAACGGTCGACTTATTTACAATAATATCTCAGTCCCCTCAGATAGATTGCTCTTTTGACACTCATGCTTACACTATTAGGCTGTATTCATGAACCAGCGAACCACTTACACGAAACGTATCGTATTCTACCTACCAACCAACCCAACATAAGCTATAGCCAATAGTTGCGTATTCAGTACATCTAAGGGTCCTCAACTGGCACCCCTCAAGATCTCCTCACGACGCCTCGGAGCTTGTTCCTGAATCCCCAAAGTTCCACCGAGAAAAAGGCACAAGGAACACCCTTTCCAACGGTCTAAGTTAGTACGGCCGCTCACACACCGATATATCGGATATATCCCGCAGAAGACCACGGATTCGCCCACTTGCATACATTCAGAAGGTCCTTACAACTCATCAACGGCATGTCTCTCCCCACTGTCTTTATAGACCAGACCAGGCCAGACCTACAGCCAAGTCTCGATCTAGCGAACTTGACTAAGTGCTCCAGACTTCGCCTCAAACCCCCTGGTCAGATGTGACCTCTCGGGGGAGGTTTTGGATAGAATGGTAGGCTCTGCTAATGTGCTTCGCCCCAATTGGCATTTGGAATAAGGTTAACGGGCCAAGCCGAATCGAGTCTACGCCGTTCCCCGGAGCAGTCACCCGCAGATTCCTCCCTTCAAATCGAGAATGTGAGGAAGATGGGGTAACGGAGAAATTTGTAGATAGCCTCAATGCCAAGAGATAAGATTTTGCGAATGAGTGTGTCAAAGTATGCTTAGAGTATCATAAAAATCTCAACATATATCATAACTTGTTAAATATGAGAATATGTAATAATTTCATATACAACCCTTCGACGGATACTGGAGCCGGACGCACCGTCAGATTGTACTTCCACAAGTTTCATCACAAATTCCTTCCTAATACGGATATGCTTAAACGGGGCTTGGTTTCTGACTATGCCTCCCATCGCTAGTATACAAAGGTATCGCTCATAGCACTAACAAATCACCATTGCTGCCAGCACCCTGAGCTGGTTGAAGAACCGCCTGAGGTGCATGTGCGCTCACCACGTATCCCGTCGAGTGGCCATTACCTCCTCCAAAGACATCATCCCCTTGATCAACATGCATCGGTTGCATCTGCTGCGTTCCAATACTTGAAAAGTAGGCATCTGCGTCGTTGACTGCTTGTGCGAGGCCCCCTTGACCATTGCCTGATGTCGGGTTTCGGCTCCTTGGGTCAATATCCGTTGCTGCTCCGGCGTTGCCAAACATGCTTATGCTCTTTTGGCTGTCTGCAGCAACAAGGAGATTTTGCTTCTGCAATGCGGGAGAGTCCTGGAGTTTGCGAGGTCGAGCAGATCTAAACACGGTCTGCACCGGCTTCAAATAGACTGTGGCTAGAGTTCCCACGTTTAGACACATTTCCTCTAGCGTCGTCGAATCGAGTCTTTCTGACTCGGCGGTGATCGCTGGCTTCTCCCCCATTACGATCTTCCTCGCTGCATTCATATCTGTAGACAACAAGCGCCAGTACATATACGCTCGGTCTCGAAGATCAGGGTTATCTGTCTCTTCAGTTGCCCACTTCAAAACCTTGGGGACCAGTTCTTGACCCTTGGTTGGTCGCTGAATGAACAGCTTTACTGTAGCTGTGAGCAAGGCCAGCTGCACTTCGACAGGTTCCTCTGCGAATGAGTACAGGAAGTCTTCTAGTAAGGCATCGCTGTTCTCAATTCGATCTGCGTATTGGCCAATGACCCAAACCATGGCTGCCTTGGCCTCCGGCTCATCCAAAGAATCCAGATGCTCGCAGAGAGTGCTGATAATGGATTCATACTGATTGGGGTACTTTCGGAAGATGTTTCGGATAACCACCGTAGCTTCCTGCACGATATATGTGATCTTGGTCGCCACAAGCTCGAGAAGCAAGTTGATGCATCGTCGTGCAGCTGGCTCAATTTTAATTGCCAGCTTTCCGATAGCACGCACTGCCTTGCGCACGAAGTGTACATCAATTTCAGTGGCATATTCTCGCAATTCCGTCAGCACCTCATCGATATTGTCCTCGTTGGCAAGCATGAAGATAAGTTCTAGCTTTGTGACCTTGACATAGATAGGATCATTGTACTTGCAGAAAAAGACACGGATATCGTTTCGGAGCACTTCAGGTCGTCGCTGGAGAATCAACAAAGCATTTCGCAGAGCGAGGTACTGAACCTCAGGACCCTTGGCGAGAAGTGTGACCAGGGGTGGTGAGAGCTTCCTGCAGAGAGCCGAGATTTGCTTCTGATCGGCGATATAATTCATCAGATACAGAATCACCCGAATGCAGGTCAACACGACCGACGAATTAGAATGCGACAGTCGTGGTGATATCCGTTCCGCTAGGAGTACCGCTTCTCCGGATTCTTGTGGCACATAGGACATCAGAGCCTCTAGAATATATGTCTGACCCCATCTATTGACACAAGATTAGCGACACTTACACAAATGTATTGTGGATGATCTTACTCGGAGCAATCAGGGAGAATAGCCACCATCTTAGAGGCATTGCTATAGTCAATGGTAAGTTTGATGGCATCGCTGCGTTCCCAGATATCCATCAGTCCAGCCAGGGCGCTCGCAACAACTGTAGGGTTGTCGTCCCGTAACAAAGAGTTCAAACGATCAATGAGATCTGAGTTCTCCACCATATGTCGGTCATGGTCGTAAAGCTTAGCGACGCAGAAGGCAGCGGTTTTTCGCACATATGGATCATTATCCTTCAGCATATGCTTGACTATTGGTACAGTAGCCTCAACAAACTCTCTAACATGAATGTAGGACATTGTTCGGAGAGCCAGTGCCCGTACCAAAGGATTGTGATCTTCCATATCCTGTATATTGTCAGTACTACTCCCAGTGCGGTCTTCGATAAACTGACATGTTCCAATACGGGAATTGCCTTTACAGCAATCTCAGGCCTTATCCTGGCATAGTTGACCAGAAACAAGAAGCACCTATTTCTTATAAGCTTCTGAGCGACTTCCAGGCAATAAAATGCTTACATCTTCTTGATTTCCAAACTCTGGATACCCATGCATCCAATGATGTCGGGGAATAGGGCAACCATGTCATTATTACTCATGGTCATATTTGCGACAATCTTCTTGAGAGCAATCTTCTTGCCCGTATAGGCCTTATCCTTTTTCCCTCCACTGTTGAGCTCGAGGCGTAGCTCGGCAACTTTGCCCTGCATATTATTTAGTCTCGGGCCATCATAAATTGACTTTGGGGGTATATATGCGAGAAACATGGCGGCCATCGCATTGTTCGCGGCGCTGCGACACCACGTATCGATAGTGACATTGAACAGGAAGTATGATCTGATGTAACGAAGGCTTTTCGCACAACAAGGTCTGCGCAAAAGCAGAAGGGGAGAAAGGAGACACAAAGTCGAGCCTCAGTGAAGTGGAGGATCAAGGACTTATAAGACCTCAGGTCCTACGAGGCTGAGACATGATAGAAAAACGGGAAGGCTTACTCGAGCAAACAATTTGGAGTCCCCTCCACCGGCGGAGCTGGACATGGTGTTGTACTTGTATCCCAAATAAAGACTATACGGCGACTGGGACTGGGTTTCGGTAACGTTGAATGTGGAATAGTCGCCCTATACCTGACAGCCCCTCACTTTGATTTCTTCCCAGTATTTTCAGCCGTTTTTTCAATATTCACAACCTAATTGGGCGGGGATGCGCTGCCCAGCGCAAAGAAAGTCGTAGAGGGTGGATGGTGGATGGCAGATAGGAGGGGATGATCACATGTGCGCCAGATGCCAACGGTTGCAAGGCGCTGTGATGTTGCTTCTCGATCGTGGGTTATCGTTACGGGGCTTCTTTGGACTCGAGCAAGCAGAGGAAGCACTGGTTTCCTCAACTTTTGTTTGCGACGTCTATCGTGACCGTATTTTGAAAGTTCGCGTCTTGAATCGGCGGCGTCGGAGTTGGGAAAGGGGATCACTAGACTCGAGTAATGTAAGCCAAATAGGTACTGATAAGATAGTGGGTTGCAATTAAGCCGAAATTGCAGCTGCCACAGCTACGCCACACGTCGAATGCCACATGGGTGGACTACAGTCATCAACTTAGCCCAGTCAATCCACGTCAACGTTGCCTCCACGAGCTTTCAACATCAACCATTAAACAGCCTTGCTCACGAACCTCAATCCGATACCCTCAATCTCTATCAGCAAGCTTCGACAGCATAGCGCTAAATCATGGCCGGCCCATCTGCCTCCCCTATCTGGGTCTCTCAACTCGAGAGCCCTCCCGCTGCCAAGTCCAAGCAATCTGGCGTTCAGGACCCTCCTGGTTTCAGTTCCGGAACAACCGTCACCAACTCCAAGGCACGCGCATTCTCTATTGCACGATCATTAACAATAAAAGACTAACACAACAAACAGAAGAACAAGGATGCTGTCAAAGTTCAGCCCCGCAAGCCCCCGACTACCGCCGAGATGGAAACCTTGAAGCTCAAGAAGGCCTGGGAAGTCGCGCTGGCTCCTGTTAAAGGTCTTCCCATGACCGCCATCATGATGTACATGTCGGGCAACTCCCTCCAGATCTTCAGTATCATGATGGTCTTTATGGCATTCAAGAACCCTTTGATGGGCTTGATGAACACGAACCAGGCCTTCGAACGCTTCCAGTCAGAGTCTCTGTCCTCCCAATTGTTACAGGTCAAGTTTGTGTATGTGGTATGCCAGCTTGTTGCGCTTGGTGTTGGAATTTGGAAGATCAATGCTATGGGTCTATTACCGTAAGGATTTATCTCCGTATGCCTCACTTTTACACCACTGACACTGTTTAGAACAACACGATCTGACTGGCTGATGTGGGAGGCGCAAAGAGAGCCTCTTGAGTTCGCTGTGGCAGCTTTATAACATGTCTATTGATACGATAAATGACTAGATAATTAATTGGACTTGCATAGTTATGTCGCATTCATTACCTCTCTCTTTGCCTTGGCTGCCCTCCATCGCATGCCTCTCTTGTCAACAAGTCTCAAAGCTGGGATCATGGCCAAGTTCAGTAAAGCAAGAAATGTGAAGCACCACCCTCTACCCATTCCTTCAATCATGTGGTCAATGGCCGCTGTTGCTGCAGCTCCAAACATACATCGCACGAGGTTATTAGCGGCAGTTGCTGTAGCTGGAGCATGGGGGTTAAGATCAACAATAAGGGTGTTGAGAACACTGAACGAGGTTGGGACGAACATGCCGATAAGGAAGACAAGGACCAATGGGACAGCAACTGAAGTTTCAACTTGCAGAGCCCATCCATACCCTATAAGTGTCGCGATACCGGCGAGGAGTGTTGGGTATACGGGCTGAATCCGCGCAGTCTCGATTGGAAACTTGCCCAGATCATCTCCCCGCTTACGGTTGATAGTAAACCCAATCTTCTTTGCGATTCGTCGATAATTCCAGTCCAAGACATAACCTTGACCAACAACGGCCAAAGCACAGCCAAACCCGTAAGGCAGATAGCAGAGACCAACCTGAAGATCGTTATAGCCGTACGTCTCTTTGAAGAGTGTTGATAGAGTGGCTGCCACTAAAATGAAAGCAAGGTAGATGATGGCATTGATACATAAGATAATGGCCATTTCTTTCTCGAAGACGATGTACAGCGTCTTCAATGGGTTGGGAAACTTCAACTTTTGCCTCGGAATATTCTGGTTTGTAAGATCTCCTCGGTGGCTGTAAAGATCAAGTAGTGACCTGTTCCATTTCGGTGGTGCTATTGAACCATTGCCGACAACTTTACGGCACGTCTCGGGGGCGGAGAGGATAAAAGGGATCATCCAGACACCAGAGAATATGGCACAAAACCAGAAGATAGCAGGCCATCCAAGGTACTGACTCAAAATACCACCCAAGACTGGCCCAAGAGCAGGCCCAACATTGATTCCGGCTCCAACAATGCCCATATACTTTCCTCTTTCAGCTGTTGAGGATATGTCTGCTACCACAGCAAAACCAAGGGCCAAAGTTCCACTGCTGCCCGCACTTTGAACACAACGAAGGATCAGGAGCGCAACAAAGTTACGTTGCAGAGCCAAACCAATGTTTGCACATATATAAATCAAGAAGGCCAGTATATAGGCGGGTCGACGCCCGGCCATATCACCGAAGTCGCCAAATATGGTTGGAGATAGCCCCTGAAATATCATGTAAGATGTCAACGTGAGGTTGACAAGTGATACAGAGATGTTCAAATCTTCGGCTATTGGGGGTATTGCGGGGAAGTATATGTTGGCCGTCATAGGAGAGACGAAGCTGGCTGCTGTGACCAAAGCTAAGATCCATCTTTTTGTGTTCTTTGAGAAAACGCTGTATGCTGGACCACTTGAGACTCTAGTCATGCTCTCGGGGTCGCCCATTATCGTCTCGTCAGCTTGAGTTGTTGATACATTATTTGGCGGTCTGCCAAGTTTCTCGGTATTATTGTTGTCGAGGCCCTCAAGAGTCTCCGACTCAGTGCTCTGTATGCTGATATCGTCATGGTCAAGTCTCGGAGGGTTTTCGGTGTTGGGAGAACGCTGGTTTTGGCTTTTCTCGTTCATCTTTGCTGAACAAAAGGATAGAATATACAACAATCATGATGAGGCAGTCGCCGAGAACTGGTAGACAAGCCTTTTAATACTACCTAACAATTTGCCCGCGATCGGAGAACATTCTCCATTGGTGATAGAATATTTATTTCCGGTTGTCTTGGCTTCTATTTCCGTAACCAACCGGCCGAAGTTGGGTTCACGGTCCCGGCGTGTCTCCACTTTATGCCGAGCTCCGCTCCGATCCGCCTCCTGAAGATATTTTGAGTCTCATACTCATTTTTCGTCGGTCTGGCCGTTAGATTAAGGAAAGTGTTAATGAAAAGAATCCTCAGGGCTCTCATAGATGGCTGAGAAACTTTCATAATTCTGCAATACCATCCAGTCTTCCGGTAGATTGAATCGGGTCAACCTGATTAGCTCGTTGAGGACCTTGAATATGTGGAAGTTGAAAGATGATCTTTATAATAAAAGATTTCGAAGAGTGGAGGATTAGAGGGTCCGTATTAGTTTCGAGTGATTGCAAATCATTACAAACTAGTAAAGAGGCTGCATCACAAGTGAAGCTTGGTTTGTTCGGCATTCAAGCTTGAGCTCGATGACTAAGCCACATGGAGCTTGTTCGAAATGCGTCAGAGCTTCATACCAATGCAGCCATGGTGTCTACAACCCTGGACCCTCATCGATGAGAGAGCTTGAATTCAAATACTCAGTCAAAGCCTCGAACCCTTTGGTCCTTAACAACACAAGTTGGGGACCTCGAATTCACAAACAGCTTGTCCATTCAGTGAAAGTGTTCGTCCTGGACTAATTCGGAGTACACGCCATGAATGTCACGGTCACTTTCAATGAGCTCCTGCGGGAACGAAATGCGCCGGAAACAAGAAAACGTGTCACCTTAGATGCCATCGATGGTTTCTTGAAGGAGGCATATAGGATTGTAAGCCGTGCGCCTCTATTTGATCTGACCCCCCCAGCTGATTAGTATCTCTAGAATTCGCATATCACCAGCCTACATCGAGAGCTTCAAAATGTTCGACAGGCTTATTTATCGACTGCGCAGCCACGAAAGACACATAACCGAGTCGCAAAAGAACAAACACGTGTACTTACAGATCGAGACCGAGAAGAAGTCGACGCCAATGCGAAACAGATGATTCGGGAGTTGAATGCTGGCATTCGTGCTCTCGACGAGGCTGAACAGTTACGACGTGAGACGGAATCAGCTATAATCCGAAAGAAATACGGAGGCCTAGGAGCGTTTGGAGCATGGGCTTCAGGTGGTATCATCAGTAGCAAAACAGAGGAGCATGCAGAAGCTGAAGCCAAGGCACGAGATTTGGGAATTCACCGAGATAGTATTCTCTGGTTTTTACGACAACGACTCGAGTTATGCTGTCGAACGCAACAAGAAATGATGGAAACACGTCTAAAGCGAGAGCTGGAAAAGAATCGCAGCATGCTTTCAAGATCCGGGGCCACCATCGCTGGAGACTTTGCGGAATTTCCTCCATCTGCCCCACGAAACTCCCAAACAGCCCCTGCTGCACCGATCCCTATGTCCGAAGACGGTCAGTTCCCGAGCCAGGGGTTGACAGAGGAACAGATCCAGATGTTTGAGCAAGGGAACCAAGACATGATGAAGCATTTCGAGAATAGTTTGGACAAAGTCAGGTACGTGTCATGTGTCCTCTCGATCTCCATCGGCACACCCTTGCTTGGTTGTATCTGCGCTAGAGTACCAAGCGCAAGCGCCACCCCATGGGGAAAGGAAGTTTGTTTGAGCATATGAGCTAACACTCGTATGACAGAACTGCTGAGAAGTCGTTACTAGAAATAGCTGAGCTGCAGTCGCTTCTCGTAAACAACCTCGCCACACAGTCAGCGCATATAGATCAGCTCGTAGCAGACTCATTTGCAACTACGGAAAACGTGGGCGGTGGCAATAAGGAACTTAAAAAAGCGACACAGCGCGCAAGTCCAGCAAAGTATACGTTCTTTGCAGCGAGTGGACTCTGCGCTTTCCTTGTGCTTTGGGATCTGGTGTTTTAGGTTGTCAAACGAATAAAAGGGTGTGCAGATACAGACAGCTAGGCATTAATAGCTGGGAGGATGTGGGAGCCGCAACCAACTACATCTCTATGCTATATACTAAACAGACAGTTAAAGATGGAGCACATATATGTGCCTTGTTACACGTTCATCTTCATAGTGTCCAAGGAACTAAAATGAAATGTATGGCCTGAAGACAAACACCACTTTGAGTTGGGACCCATCCTCATTTCAAACAGCATTGATCATCACTTGGAAAAGTGAGGCCACGGGATTGCCACTGGATGCATCAGTAAAAAGGATGGCCATACCACATAAAGGAGGTGTGTTAGCATGTAAGTCGGAAACCGGTGTACTTTGATGTACCCGTTAATGACAGCCCCCTTTTATAAGCAAGGACCCGAAAACAAACATTTGTATGGCTGATCAGAGGCGAAAGTCATGTTTCGATCTCATGATAATGAGAGGTGTTTCTTCGATGTATCGATCTCAAGTTATCGGCCGTTGTACTTGAATGGTACTCTGCATAATATCGACTTGGCAAACCCTGTGAAATCAGAAGATTTCATCTCACACCGGCAATCTTCCTACAGTATCTCAGATTCAAATTACGCCTCTTTCCTCGCTGGATCAGTTGGCCTTGTCTTTCAGCTCTGGCTAGATCCAACGTTCGATAACACAAAGACATACGATGCAGAATGTTTTGTCATCCAATAACGCTGACGGGTAAACCGGGCCCTTCGCCGGGACCCTCAAAACCTTCTAAGGATCCAGGGGCAGTTCAAGATTTACAATAGATGTAGATTTCAATGGGGGATGAACCTCGCATAGACATCGCAAAGACCATTCCAATCTACAAAGTCATACGACTAATCAAATCCATCATGTTACGTTTTAGCCGGGCGAAGTCGGAGGCGCGCGTGTAACTGGGCGCTGACGCTGGGCCAGCTATTACCCAACAGTACATTTCAAAGCCCCGTGATGTTTTGTCTAAGATTTTTTACTTCCCCGTGACAGGACGGTAACGGGGCGTCCGGGGCCGTCAGAGCCACCCGGTACTGTACTGGCAATGCATGCGTGCTGTAGCTTGTCTAAACTGGTAGGGAAGTGAATCGAAGGGGTCTGGAAGAATGAACCGGGTTCTTTTTTTCTGGGGAATGGATCCATTGGAGTCTTGGTTAGTAGAGGAGGGAGGGGAGGGGTTTGGGGAAGAAACTGGAGAGATTTTTTAACGTGAAATGTCGATCCAACTCAACGGTCATGAAACTTGGATAAACGTGTTACGGTATGCTAACTTGTTGAACGGTGAAACCTAATTAAAGTTATCATCCATGATGTTAGATGAGATATATAGATCAGATTCAAGCATGCCAGTTCAAGGGACCACAGATCAGACCACAAATGAATTAGAAACTTGATAACCAGTTTCAAAAGTTCATAGATTCTCTCCGCAAAAATTGAACATGGGATCAGTTACTCGAACGCATAAAGACAGGACTACGTCAGCCTAGCTCCGTAATCTAAACTCACCGTCATCCATGCCAAGTAAAGTAACAAAATGTACGGAAGAGTACATACCTCGGTGAGGTTACGGTTGTCGGTCGGTCAGCTCCATTACGCGCGTGACGTTAGACTGCAAGGAGCCGAGGTGACCTCGCAAACCAACCTAGGTAGGCAATTACAAAGGGAAGCTCTGATATTGACGTGATGGAGCTTCACAAGCTTTTTCACAAGCTCGGGAAGCGTTTTCGGTATACCTGTTTGAGGACAAAGCATAAAAGATTGGATTGTCGCAATTCAAGGAAGAGATAAGCCTAATTGTTGAAATTCTGGGAGCATAATTTAAAGGCCCGATCACAACTTTCTACATACAACTGACGATTTCATTTTCAACGGTTTCACGATCTTTGCACAAGTTCAACAGCTGTACCGTCGCATCTTCAATCCAATCGCAGACTCGTCTCAATTTGAACCGCGCAAGCTTTCGAGTCCGACCGTCACAAAGAACTATCCTTCGACTATTATTATCTGTTCCTCGTCTGCTAAGGGATCGAATACTCCTAGCCTATTTATATACGAAACAGCGCTTCAAACAGATCAGCTACCCGTTAGGATCATCTGAGAAAAGAGCCGGGAAAACCCAGAAACCACAAAGGTACACCAGCTTCAAAGGTGAGTTGTCAATTTCTTTACAAAAACGCAAGAGGAAGTTTCCTATGTTTGCCCTTGGTCCGTTGGGCCTGTCCCTGTTGGGTTGCGAGTTGAGCTCGAGTCTCAGTCAACCACAGACGCACCGCACCCCCTGGGGAACAAGAAAACTTCAGACCTTGAATAACGATGCCAAAATCAACTCATCAAAAGAGTCTTCTAAGCTTATGACAAACTTACCTAAGTATTTTTGTCGCTTAGGATCAAGGTCCTGTATTTCCTTGCGTCCCCTACTTAACACCCCCCAAAAACACAAGCACAAGCACAAGCGGTTTGCGGTTCTGTTCTGTACCTGTATGGTACTGATCTCTACCCATGCAACGATAGCATCACCCAAGCAGAAAAAGAGCCCACCGCGAAAGTTGTCCGGTGAGCTCAGCCCACCTTCTACCTCTGTTTGGCATCGGGCGGCATGCCCCTTCCCCCGAGAGCTCCAGTGGTCCGGAATAACGGCGCCCTATTTGCCCGCCTGCATCGAGTGCTTGGGGGAGGACATGACCAATTGCATCAGGCCAGAATCTGGTTTACGCAATAGTCATAGCCATGGGGCCTTGTGGATATTCAGTGCTTTTGCCCGGACAGAGACCACTGAGTTCTTGAGATAAGAACCGTTGGGCTCTGTGATGAGGGACAAGTGCCTCGCAGCAATGATAGTCTCGAGTCCCGAGTCTCTTACACGGGAAGAGTGTTGAGAGACGTTTCGGAGGCGAATTGAAACATTTCCTCGTCAATTCATTACCCAAAACAGTCTTTTATTGACTGGCGCGGTCCGTAGCTTACTGACAAAAGTTGCTGTTAGGTACCTTTTTTGTTTTCCCCAAAGACGCACACTCCTACAGGGGCCTCTCACCTCAGTTCACCTGGGCTCAGGCTCTTTCACATTCACCCGCAAGTCCACCTCACAAGAGACACACCCCCCTGGTTCCACCCAGGCCACCGGACACGGCGCCGCAAGACCCCAAGGCCCCTCTTCCTTACCCCCCTAAATCGAAAATCCTCAGGGCCGCAGCCCACTATGACACCGTCACTGAGTACACCCCGTCAGACTCAGTCTGGCAGCAGCACCTCAAGCTCAAGCTCGACTGATAATAAAACGGCGCCTACCTCTTCTTCGTCTTCTTCCATTTCTCGTCTCAACTCCATCGTTCGTCACATCTCGCCCAAAATGGTTTCTACTACAAATTTCCCTGCCGAAGTCGTGCCCCAGGCTCCTGAAGACCCTCTCTTTGGTCTTGCACGAGCTTACAAGGCCGACGACAGCCCCAACAAGATCGATCTTGTAAGTTGAGGCCCTCCAACATAGCCCTTTCGTCTGAAATGTTTCCAAAGTATGATTTCTCTTACTAACCTATGCCTTCTTGTTGTTTAGGGAATCGGTGCTTACAGAGACGAGAACGCAAAGCCCTGGGTGTTGCCAGTCGTCAAGAAGGTATGATACTCGCACCAATCCATCTTGTACACCTCGCTGCACTTCCCCTTCACGGCATTGCCGTTCACCATCCCTCAGTCGCATAACCTTTCAACCCTCAAAACCCCAGATCGCATACACTTGCATTGCACTCCACGAACGCATTGCTCTTCAGACATTCCCCTGCCCGGATGACGCTTCCGAAGCGGATCCGATCAAGCTCCAGTCTCCCTCAAAACCCTCGCATCATTGCGATTTTTGGGTCATGGGGTCAGCAGCTTTCCATAATGCGCTGCCTAGATCCCTTTCATGCAAATATGCGTCACAACATGCCCCAACAGCCCCGCCGCCACGACTTGCGCGCAAACCTTGAGTCTTGGAATTTGAGCTAACCCCACGTGCGTCACAGGCTGATGAGATCCTCCGAAACGACCCTGAGCTCAACCACGAGTATGCCCCGATCGCGGGTATTGCCAGCTTCACATCCAAGGCCGCCGAGCTGGTTTTTGGCGCTGACTCCGCCGCCATCTCAGAGAAGCGCTCGACGACATTGCAGACAATCTCTGGTACCGGTGCCGTGCACTTGGGTGCTCTCTTCCTAGCCAGGTTCTACAAGGGCAACCACACTGTCTACCTGTCAAATCCCACCTGGGCGAACCACCACCAGATCTTCAAGAATGTCGGCCACTCAATTGATACCTACCCTTACTTCCACAAGGAAACCAAGGGTCTTGATTTCGAGGGCTTCAAACAGACTCTTCAGTCTGCTCCTGAGGGATCTGTCTTCGTTCTTCATGCCTGCGCACACAACCCCACTGGTGTCGACCCTACCCAGGAGCAATGGATCGAGATTGCAGCTCTCATGAAGGAGCGAAACCACTTCCCCTTCTTCGATACTGCTTATCAAGGCTTTGCCTCTGGTGATCTCGTCCGAGATGCCTGGGCTATCCGATACTTCGTTGAGCAGGGCTTCGAGCTTGTTGTTGCCCAGAGTTTCGCCAAGAACTTTGGTCTCTACGGCGAGCGTGCCGGCTGCTTCCATGCCGTTACCGCCCCCGCTGGTGATGCCTCAAACACTATCACCCGTATCGGCTCTCAATTAGCTATCCTCCAGCGATCCGAGATTTCCAACCCTCCTCTGTATGGTGCTCGTATCGTCAGCACTGTTCTCAACGATCGCGACCTCTTCGCAGAGTGGGAGGAGAACCTGCGCACAATGTCAGGCCGCATCATCAGCATGCGCGATACTCTACGAGCCAAGCTTGAGGAGCTCCAGACCCCTGGTACCTGGAACCACATCACGGACCAGATCGGCATGTTCAGTTTCACTGGTCTTAGCGAGTCACAAGTGATGAAACTCCGAGAAGAATTCCACATCTACATGACCAAGAACGGTCGTATCAGCATGGCTGGTCTTAACGACAACAATGTTGACTACTTCGCCAAGGCTGTTGACAAGGTTGTAAGAGAATCTGCTTAGATCTGTGTAGATTGAGCTAGAAGTTGAGTGTTTGAGATGGTGTATGAAACTCATGGGACGTGGTCGAATACAAGACCCTGGAAGAAACTCGGCGTTGGGATTACAGCTTTGCCTTTATTATCGCACCTACCATGAAGGAGCCTCTGCAAAAAGCACTGGACGATCCTTGTTTATGCATGCTGTTGACAGCTTTTAATATACCTTGACTGCAAGCCAATGCATTTGCATACTCAACTACTTGGTTCTATTGCTCTATCGTGATGTCGTGTAATGATGATGCAGTAGGACAGAGATCAAGATAGTGAGTGAACTTTCTTTGGTTATCTTGAATCGAGGATGCTATCTTGGCGTACGGCAGACCTTGACCCGCAGATAGCATGAACACCTTGATGCCGCTTAAAGAAGGGCGATATGCGATATGCAATTCGAGCCTGTGATTGGCCCGCCTCTCACCTTGGAAAGAAAAGACAGGAACTTCCTGCTTCATTAGGTAAAATTACTATTCTTGCTGTAGCAGTAACCAAAAACGGACGCAAGCACGGGGATCCTACAGAACAACTCGACAGGCAGAGGCTGGGCAACCCCCATAAAATAGAATTCGGGGAAACCTCGCGGTCTCGGAGTGGACGGCTGCTGTCTTCTCTGTGTGTTCTCCGGGCTTCAGTGGCATCTATCGCCGGCGTGCGCGGTATCGAGACGCCGATTCACCGTGAAGGGAGGGTATGAGAAGGGTATTGCCGCGCACTCCCTTTTCCCCCTGCCACTATCTTCCCGTCTGGGGAAGATGAAAGGAACTGTTTGGTTTTTTCATGGAGAGTCCACCCCCGCATGTCGCGATGCAATTTTTATCCTTTCCCCGCATGGGAGCCGCTCGCTTGTCCGGGGACCAGGGGGGCGTGTAGCAACAAATTCCTTGATAGTCAAGTCCAAGGTCAGCCATAAAACAAAAGATACGGGGGAAACCGGCGGAAGGGAAGTTTTGACGGTGGAGACGGAATCTCGAAGCGAAGCATTGACTGGGGAAACGGTGAGAATATCTTGAAAACCTGACCGTCTGCAATAACTTGCTGTTTGTTCAGTTTCCCTTATGTCATGAGACAGGCAACTTTACAACATAGGATCCATACAGAGCCCCGACAAACCCCGAATATCATGAAATTAACTGAAGCATTTATATCGGAGAGTCAAAGACTGTGCCTTGGACTATTACACAATTGCGTATCCACTGCTGCGGGTCAGGAAAAAGGTACTTTGAGGAACTTGGGGGAATTTCGAGACTATCGACGGGATTTGTCCGATACCGGGGGAGGGTGTGTGCCAAGTCCTGGAGCAAGGGAAAGGATAGGATCCATATCATGGGGTAAGAGAAACGTTAGCTGGGTCTCGCAATTGAGGATGTACCTTGCGTATGGATATGGTCAAGATGGAAATAGTCCGGTGTGAGGAATGGCGTAGGGCACATGACTGTTTTGTTATCTGGGCCTTGTTTCTGGGTCAGGTAAGGTAGTCTAGAGTTCGGTTAGACATGCAGAATTGGGAATCCGATTTCTAGTCAAGCTCCTGAGGAGCTAGCTGAGAAATCATCAAGATAGTCATTTAGCCGCGTTGCTTAGTGTTTAGATAGAACTGCTACAGTATAGAATGCACTCTATGCCGTGGTGCTAGAGTGTGTGCTTGAGGCTATTTGATAAGAATGATAAAAGGCTTAAGATTATCAAAGCCTTTAGAAACTGTCTTAAGACTGCGTCGTCTTTTTCTGACCTGTTAATACACTGTTGGAATGATATGGGTTTCCTTGGACCATACACAATCTTGATCAAGATTGACAACTACAGCTAACAGCACACTCACACCGCTGAATGGCTTCCCTTGGCCTAGGACAGGATCCATGTGGTTCAAAGTAGCTATATCAATGATTAGAGCTTTGTCCATGTTACAGAGACTCCGCAGTTATGGTGACCCCTTTCATTCTCAAGAGATAGACTGCGACTATGCGACTTACAAGTCCTACTATACCCCATCTTCTCAACGGAGCAGACCAGACAACAATATATCATCATTTGACTCTTTATGAAGGACTTGGATTGTCAACAACAAGTCACAGGTTTGGACATTTTCAGATTGTATGTTAAGCAAAATGAAGATTGAGCAGCAAGATATGGTATTCATGCGGACTCAGTCGAGAAAACCCCATAGGAGACTATCTAACAATCTCTCTTCTCTACATGCAGTGAAGGAGTGCTCGATACAGCAAGCAGATTTGGCGAAAGGATGCACATGGAGGCAAACAGCATTGGTCTTCTGGCATGTTTGTCTAACATTTCATTCACTCAGCCTCTGATTTAACAAAGTGTTAAGAGAAAAGGAGGTAAACTTGTTTAGACGCTTGAACCAGGCCTGCTCCAGTATTGTTTTCTGATGATCTTAGATCAACCTACCTATATAAAGTGAGAAACATCCCCGTCTCTCTCACAGGCAATGGCGATCTTACACCTCTTCCAGTATACATGCTAATTAGAAGAAGAAAAAACAGTATACGAGCTTACTCAAACTCATCACTACTGAATTCTAAGTTTTATGCCAGATTCTGAGCTGTATGCCATCTTATTTCATTTGAGTTTGAAGGTATAAGTGTAAGGCAAGGTAGCTCTCGTTTAGCTCAACGCTGCGCTGCCTAAAGTGGCAACCCCCACCATTCATTACTATCCAGCTACATTCTCAACCTCACCAATAATGAACTTCAGCCATGGGGAGAAAACTGCCATGGAAGACTTCCTCGACTCCTTCGGGCCCCGAAAGAAAAACATCAGTGAAGTCTGAGAGTGCACTACCCACACCATCACGAACGACCCATCCAGATACACCTTCAGCATCTCGTAAGAAACCGCGTCGCGAGCGCGTGATAGAGGCAGAAGGTATTCCAAACTCGTCACTTTCGTCACAACCGCAAAGAAACCGACAATATTATACAGATGCTACACGCAGTCCGTCAACCTCGCCTCCACCAGAGCCGCCAAAAGAAAGGTCCATCTTACACCCAAACTCACACTCATACCAAACACTGACCAGACTCAGATTCATGAGACCAGGCCTTGACCATGATGACCGATATCGTATAGTGGAAGACGAGTTCGTCAACATGGCTCACCAATTCACACTTCACATTCATACTTCTGAATACAATCGTTTGAAGAATTTGGCTAAACACCAAAACGCAGACACAATCCGTGAGATTGAAAGGCCTGTAGTCGGCGCGCCAACCCTATTCACACGACAACGTCAGGAGGACGTACGCCGCAACGCAAAACAGCGCAAGCTCTTAGGTAATGACGCAAATGAGAAGAAAGACTCCCTTTACGCAGGGTCAAGTCTGCAAGGTCTCATGGAGAGTCCAAGAAAAGAGCACAAGTGGATATCAACTGGTCTGGCCGACACAGCAGCGACGAGAGCTTCGGCGGGTTTCAATTCACAGCGGATTAGCCCGCTACGGTTGAGGCAGGGATCGAAGCCATCTTCAGCAAAGAAGAGACAGATTCCTCTAGGTGACGACGATGTGACAGATGATGGAGATGACTTGGATCTGACTACGCCCTCACGCACCGCAACTACAAAAGCGGCACGCACGACGCATACATCCAGTCCAGCCATGCCACGCTCAACACCACGAACGGCATTTAGTACTCCTCGCGCACTGAAGTCAGCTATGAACACAACTTCGAGGCCGGGCTCCAGCGTCAAGCGGCCAACAACAGCACCTGGGGGAAGCGAAGCACGTAAGATAACCAAAGGCCGCGATGTTCAAGAAGACATCGATGACGACGATCCATTTGGGATCAACAAACGACGAATTCAGCGCCAGAAATCAAGGGAACAGTTCCGCAAAACAGAAGAAAAAACACCCTCTAAATCCTCACTCGACGATATTCCTTCATTCATCTAAGCACATTCACCATCACGAAATGTCAACATTGGTCTAAAAGAGTCTTATGGAAATCAAATCAGTTCTTTTCATTCATGTAAGCCCTATTCTTGCATTGGCCGGTCCTCCACTGTAAGCTCATCAAAGTCATCCAGCAACTCATTCATATCAACTTGAGGTGCCTCATCATCCTCCTCAGTCTCAGCAACGCTCATCTCCTCCTCGGCTCTCTTCTTAGCCTTGTACAAGGCGAGCGTAGCACGGAGCTCCTCGTCTTCCTCGACATCTCGCAAGAACTGCTCGTACTCTTGATCCAAACGTTCTTGGTCGGCCTTCTTGGGAAGAAGCTCGCCCTCGTCCTTGTCCATACGCTTGAGCTGCCAGTTCCTCTTGCGGTTCTTTCTGCGGCGGGGATAGTGTTTCTTGACTAGCACCACGTCAGGGATTCTTGATGAGTATGTGTTGGAGTTCTCGATCGCCTCGTATTCGGTGTTGTTGAAAACGGTTCCGGCCATCAGGTAACCCATAGCAGAATCACCGGGCTGGAGGAGTCGACCCAAGTGAGTCCTTGTGAAGTATGTTCGGTCATTTGAACCAAGATCTGTGGCACGAGCGACTGTGGCTTCGGCAAGCGTCCACTTGCCCTTCTGGGTTGCTGTGCGGTCGATATCCATGACAATGAACTCAACGAGCTCATGTGTATCGGTGAGAGATAGGAAAGGAGCTCGCCAGTAGATGGGTGAGCTGATATCACAAGTCTGAAGAGTCTGAGGGTCCAACAGGTACACAGAGGTACCGATTTTGTGGCAAAGAAGGAGAGGTGAGATGTTGCCGTTTTGCTTGGCCATCTTAATAGGCATAGCGACCATGTCATCTTTACATATAGGCACCAGCTCGGCCGAATATGTGAACTTGTACGACGTCTTAGAGGTGTGGGTATCGTGAGAGATAAGCTCCTGCGACGCCTTCACCTTGACAGGCACCACGGAGTTGAGGAAGTCGATAAATTTCTCAGCCTGGTTCTTTTGGGCGAAGAAGAAGTCGATACCATCCTTGGCCTCCCGAATGTTGAGGGTATCTTTGTGTGCGCCGTGCTTCATAATGAGCTGCTCGAGGAACAGGAAAGTTCGCTTGTGAAGGACCTTCTGACGAACTTGGACAGCAGCTCGCCAAACGTTGGCAGTGTACGACTTGGCACACTCAGGGCACTGCTGGTACGCCACCACATACACAACCTCGAAACTCTGTTGAAGCAGCATACCATCTTGGACGGAATCCTGGATTGTGATCTTGACCTTGACTCGTCGCGAGTGAGGCTCAGTCCAGATAAAGCTCGCGTCCACGATACGGACTTTGTTCAGACCTCGAAGCTTCTTGAGGCACATGGCTAACAGTTCGCGGGATTCGGGGGCGGCAACGATCCAGCTGGTGGGGGGCATAAGCCATCGATCGCAATCTCGGCAGAAGTTGAGCGTCGCCTCTCGCTGGACGCCTTGGGAGATGTCGACGGTAAGCTTGATGCAGTCGTAGCAGAGAGCGCCGCTGGAGGCGGTTCCATCGATCGGGGCACCGCAGTTGCAGCAGAGAATACTGAAGGGAAACAAGTTAGTATTGCGCCCAAGAACAGGATGAGTGCGGGGTGGTAAAAGAAGATCGGGACTCACGTAGCAGCGCCCTGCTGCTGAGAGGCAGGGGCTATAGAGATGGGCTGGTCATCCAGATCCATCGACATGTTGGGCAACGATGTCGTGTGAAATTTTATGGTGTTGTTTGGGTGGAAATGAATGATGTTCAGTGACTCTTAGAAACTCAAGAGTGGGAGAATTTGGTTCGCCGCCGCTTGATAAGCGCTTATCGGGGGGCAGAAAGGATATTTTTTTGCAGCCGCGGGGCAAAAATTAGAAAGTGCAAGTCAAGTGGCATTCATTCCTCACAGTCATAAAGTTCAGGGTCCACTTGGGTCATGCCCATCATTGGATGGGTCATCCTCTTTTAAATGGATTCTATATCTTCAGAAGTCGTGGTTTTGATAATATCAGGTAATATAGACAAAAATGCAACAAAAAAAAAAAAGGCTATAGATCAGAAAATCTTGCTTAATACCCTCGTCACCTCTGCTGGTTGATCTTCCACCTCCGTCTTCTTCTTTGCTAGAGGAACTTGCTTGAACGATCTCTTGACTTGTCGCACTGAGTCCTCTCCCTCTCCCTCGCCATTTGCCTTCCTCTTCTTGGCCTTTGCCTTGGCCTCCATGCCATCCAGCATCTTTGCCTTCTCCACGTTCCTGACGAACTCCTTGTTCTCCTTTGTCGACTTGCTGATCTCGGCTCTCATGCGGCTAGCGCGCTCTGCATTCTCAGCAGCGATTTGTTCTGTGAGGTTGTGCCATTTGAAACCTTTGAGGTATAAAAGATTCCATAAATCGTCGTGGTAGTAGCTGCCCTTCTTGCCGCCAATGGTGCGCGCGTTGAGAAGGTCGCATACGGCCTTGGCGTCCTTCTTCTTGGTGAATTCGACCCATCCTTCGGTATATGATCGCTTCTTGTTACCGCCAGCGCGAACGCGACGGGCATGTGAGGCTGGATCTTCGGGGGCGAGGAAGATGCGGTTGATGGTCCCGTAGGGTTCGAGGAGAGAGCGCAGCTTCGCGGGCTTCATGAAAGGTGGTATTCGGGAGAGATAGACGACACCTGACTTCTTGATGGCGGCTTCGGATGCGACGAGGTTCTTCTTTGTCAAGGTTCTTGTGACATCGGGCAGCTCTGTTGATGTTGTGTCTTTTGATTTGCGCTTTGGCTTTTCCGGCTTATCCTCTTTCTTCTCATTCTTTTCTGTCTCCTCTGCATCCTTTGCGGCTGGCTCGTCCTCATCGTCGCTGGCATCGCGCTCAATGTCGCTACCCAGATCATCTTCGTCGTCCGAGTCAAGTTTCCGTCGCTTGGCGCCTCGGCCACCCTTTTTCATATCATCATCCTCAGAATTATAGCCAACATCGTTCTCCTCATCACTATCGGCCGTATCGAGAAAGTCGTTTTTTGTTTTGGGCGCCATGATGAATGCGATTGGCAGCGCTGAGCTTGAAGTGTATCCAATGTGAGGCTGGAGAATCCAACGTCAAAAAAAAAAGTAGTCCCTGGCTGATAAGATAAGCTGTCGTCGCGCTAGTCTCCAGGGATGTGACTTGAGTTGGAGACGGTCATGTGACTTGGAGGGGTAGCCAGCGACGTCACTGATAAGAGGTTTAGAGGGGAATAATTGTTCGAGAAGAGCTTTACAGCAGTTTAATTAAGGCAAAAGCACGGTAGTTCTGAAGCATGGTGCTTTATATGAACTACGATTGTCCAGTATAAAACTAGCACCTATGCGGGAGTCAAATTGTTTTTAAAGACTGACCGCAGTGTACTTAGCATACCTTGGTAGTCTAAGCTTCCATGAATCAAAGTCTTATCATACAGCTTCGTATCGCTGTGATCATGACTACTATTGAGAATGAGAATAGACTTAACTCGGGTCCTGATACCTTAATACTATCATGGGGTCACTATTCCGAGTTAGATTACCATGTCTTTTCAAATTGTAGCGGGGTTGAAGCCGCCGAGGTCGGGTTACGTTGGTATACGTGGGGCAACTGAAGCACCGCGAGCCGCGAGCCGCCAACCGCCGTCCGTCATCGACGATAGAAGTACAAGTACAGTACACTCATGACTATCTCATATACTCCACTTGCACTTCAAAAAGTGGCCAACTACAAAGATATAATCTCCTCCACGATCTGTCACTATCACCTCACTCTCTTCCTCTCACATACCTAATTCTACCCACAATGTCTCTCGAAGTCATCACCACAATCTCCCCAAACACAAACGAGCCCATCCTTACCAGGAATGGCGCCTCTCAAGCTGACCTTGAGTCTCTCCCCAAGGTCGCCACTGAGGCTTTCCAGAGCTATCACAAGACAACGTTGAAGGAGCGCCAAGCTATTGTTCGCAAGTTCCTCGATGGCCTCTTGGCTAAGAAGGATGAGCTCGGTGAAGAGTTGACTGTTCAAATGGGCCGCCCCATCTCTTACACACCGGGCGAGGTCGCCACAGCTGTCAAGCGTGGTGAATATCTCCTCAAGATCAGCGATGAGGCCCTCAAAGACACCGACGGCGAGCCCGAGAAGGGCTTCAAGCGTTTCATCCGAAAGGTCCCTGTCGGACCTGTACTCATCATATTCGCGTGGAACGTAAGTGCTGGCCTCGTTTTGCTGGACCAGGTCCATCTTGTCTGACTCTACATAGTACCCTTACCTTATTCTGGTCAACTCTCTCATTCCCGCTCTTCTTGCAGGCTGCAGTGTAATCCTCAAGCCCTCACCTCAGACACCTACCATCGTGGAACGGGTTACCGATCTCCTAAAGGAGGCGGGCTTGCCTGATGGCGTTTGCCAGTACTTCCACTGCGGCTCTCCCACTCTTATGGAGACCATTGTGCGCGATCCCAAGATCGCCCTAGTTTGTTTCACCGGCTCTGTCGCTGGAGGTCTCGCTGTGCAACAAGCTGCGTCTGACCGCATTGTAAATGTCGGTCTGGAGTTGGGTGGCAAGGACCCAGCATATGTTCGATCAGATGTCGATGTTGATTGGGCTGCTGCAGAGATTGTTGATGGTGCCATCTTCAACTCTGGTCAGAGCTGCTGCTCTATCGAGCGTGTGTATGTTGACGAGAAGATTCACGATCAGTTTGTTGAGGCCGTGCAAAAGGTGCTCAAGAGCTACAAGCTCGGTGATCCCTTTAACAAGGAGACCCAATTGGGACCTGTCGTTTCAAAGCGATCAAAGCAGAATGCCGAGGAACATATTAAGGATGCCGTCGACAGCGGTGCCAAGGATGCCACTCCCGAAAACGAGACTTTCAGCAACCCTCCTACCAAGGGTAACTTTGTGAAACCCACCCTTCTCACCGGCGTCAACCACAGCATGCGGGTCATGACTGAGGAGTCGTTTGCCCCAATTAGTAAAGTTTCCCGACGACATTTGAAGACATTTTGCTGACCAAGATGCAGTTCCCGTTATGAAGGTCAAGGATGACAGCGAGGCCATCAAGTACATGAACGATAGCGAGTTTGGTCTGACAGCCAGCATCTGGACCAAGGACACAGACAAAGGATACGAGCTTGCCGAGGATGTGGAAGCCGGCACTGTATTTGTCAACAGATGCGATTATCCGGCACCGGTACGTTTTCTGATCCAAGCACAAAGGGTCTCTGCATTACGTGATTACTGACTGATCGACAATAGGATCTTGCTTGGACTGGCTGGAAGAACTCGGGTAAGGGACAGACGCTTAGCAAGTTTGGATTTGATCAGTTTGTGAAGCTCAAGAGCTACCACCTGAAGGATTACCCAAACTAAACTAGATAGAGAGATTGTTATTGTTGGTCGAACCCGGTTAGGTGGCTCTGAACAATGAGACGGCTGCCTGTGTTGACATGAATCAAACACTCACCGCAAACAATCTGATACTGCCATGATTAAGAACGAAGTACGTGATTTGAGTGCACATCATTTCTCTTAGCGACTGTCTAAGAAGTGTCGCCCCTGGCGAGGCGGGCAGGGCAGAAGCGGGTGAGACGAGACGTTTTCGATAACGGGCAACCAAGACAAGACGAGGTAAAGTTTGGTCTTTCTGGGGAATGTTATGTTGATGAGGGATTGCTGCATTCGGTAATCTCTATGGTGAGTAGAACAATCTGCGACAACTGACACTACGTGGCCTTACACGGTCAATTCACTACTATCTAATAGTGAAGTGACTAACTAACTAGTATTTTTTTTTTCTCTCTGTGGAAGTTATTCAATACTATTATTTCCCCGCCCTGGTTTGAGCTGGCGACTTTTCCCGCCTCCCTTTGTTGCTGTTGCACGAGATTAGGCTTGGACGCCACGCCTGAGGCATTGAGTAGGTATATGATATTCCACCCCCTTGTACATGGACGTAATTTATCAGAGGCAATAAATCCCACACAAAGGATATGATATTTGCAACCGTGCACTTTTCGTCTCTACTATACTGTCACTTTTAGTCTCGATATAGTCCCAGGTTGGGTTCTCCTTGCGGCCCTTTTTTTCTCTCCCGTCGCACCATGAAGCGTCGTTCAGCTGAGACATCCAATGGAGAAACCAAAATTAACTTTGGTCAGCGTGAAAGTGATGGTGGCGGGTTTGCACAGGACCCGAGACGCTGGAATTCCAGCGACTTGGATACATTCCAGAAGGAAACGTCAGCGTAGCCTTGACCCCTGGCGCTTAGACGGTTCAGGGCAGTTTCTCACTGTTAATTTGCCTGTTTTCACTTGGTGATGTGCGTGCGTGCATGCATGTGTGCGTTGTGTCGTCTGCATCCATCTGCAGTCATCTCTTTTTTCCTTCCTGTTTCCCTTTGTTCAATCTCGTATATTTAATTTACATACATGTCCTCCTCTAAATCTCTTGTTCCGTTCTTGTGTTGTTACATCTTTCTCACCACATTCCTTTCCTTCATCAACTGTCCTGTTCTGTAAGGCTTATTATAGACCAACCTCCAACTGTCTTTCACTTATACACATTCTCTTCTCTCAACCTCCCCATCTTATCTACATACCTCAAATACCTACTCTTCGTACCTGAGACTCGGATGATCCTCTTTGTATCAAAAACATACCAGAGTTTGACTCCACCAACCACTCACTCATTCTCCTACACCACTACTCTCCAAAAGAGCCACATGCCTTTCCCCATCTGACATCCACTTCTTTGTCCTCCTCTAGACCGTGAATTTAAGAAAAAACGAGCCTTCTTTTTTAAATTTCCCGCCTTTTCCGCTCTCTCATACAAGAATTCCAATCTTGCACCTTTTTCAGTCAGCCTCTTGTCTCCCAACCCTTCTTTTAAATCTCATCTCAGCTTGTCTCGTTCCATCTTGCTTCTTCCCCAATTCTAGAACAACTCTCCACATACTCACAACTACAACTACAAACCAACCACCTTTTTGGGCTCTTTCTATATAAGAACCCTTTCAACTCAAAGTCGACTTAATGGGATCCGCTGCTGTTTATCCTTCCGAGAGACGTGATCCTCGGTGCTTCAATCTTCCCTTGAATCGACTTCGATCTTCAAAAATGCATATCTCGGATGACTTCCAGACGCTGTGCGAGCGTGTCCAAACAATGGTTCGCCAACGACGCCGTAAGGAGAAGCGTCACATGGAGATTGTATGCCTCTACCCTCAAGCATCTTGTTCTTGACTAACTGTTTATCTTGCAGTCTGCACCTTTCGGCTTCGAAAAGAATCCAGTCAACCTCCCAGGAGTCTCAGAGGAGCAGTAAGTCAACACTTCTACAACCACTACAAGATTGATAACTGACACTATAAAGACTCAGTATGCTTCGAGAACAAGCTGCCGCCAGTCGAATCGGCATCGCAGACTCTCCCAGTCCTACCGCTCCTCGCTCGCCCAGCTCAACCTCGAGCCTCTTCTCCCATCCAGTCCGACCACCTATCAAGACTGTCCCAACATCCAATTCTCTCTCGTCCACCGACAGCCTCAACTGATCGAATATGGACACTTATCATCACTATTTTCTACCGCTTTTAGAAGTTTTATTAGGGGCGTCTTAAGAAAGGAAACACATCACTGACTTGGGGTCTATGGAAAGGAGCAACTGTACGATACACATGGAATGAAATGGAATGGGAAGAAATTGGGCGGATCATAGGGGAATTGGGCATCTACGGAACCACGGGCACGGCAGCATTACAGAATATCATCATACCCGGCGTAATCTAATCTGATTAATTCTTTCACCGACACTATTGCTCTCAGCTTATCCCGCCGATACCCCTAAATCAAGGGTTCTGGGCTAAACTGCACCGGTGTCCTTTAGGAATGTGAATGGAACAATGTCGTTGACGGGGAGAGTGACATGTTGTTTCATTTGGACGTCTAAGACCTGCATGCACGCATGCGTCCATCCTCGCTTCTCGCTACTGTATTCTAGATTGCTACTAATCTTTTAGATCCAACCGGCGTACACGTCCAGACTCTCGGAGCGAACTCCCTCCATCTCCCCCTTAACGCCGAGTAGCTTGACCTTTGTACCCTTCTCCTTGGCCCACTTGTCCAGGAATTCCTCAACCCGCTGCTTCGTCTCCTCATCGTCCTTCATCAAGAGAGCCAGGGCATCATAGCCGCCTGCACCAGGGACGACACCGCCGTAGACCCCTTCGACGGTGCTGAGGGCGTCGAGGAGCTCTGTCTGGCTAGCGGGCTCGATGGGGACTTCGCTGGCGCTACCCATTTGTCTAATCATCTCTCGAACAGCTGTAATCTTCTCAGGCAGATGCTCGACGTCCCCGGCGTTCAGAGTAGCAATCAGCTGCTCATTGCGCTTCTGAAGCTCATCCCAAAGCTTCTTCGATTCTTCTGGGTTTGAGGACCTCCACTTGAGAACCTTCTTGACCATACCAACCGTCTTACTTCCACAGTCCACATCGCACATACGCAGAACAACTCCCTTGGGCATAATGACTGCATCCTTGAGAACTTCTACATCCCAAGCAGACTTGCCGTCAACGAGCTTGACCAACGCATCCGCAAATCCAGCTGCACCAGGCTCGGGAATTGAAGACAGTGTCTCGGGAGAGAAGCGTCTGTATCTGCAAGATCCATAGACAGCCGTTGCAACATCGAAACCCGAACCGACCTTGCCCTGCGCAGCACAGTGAGCAGCCTGGGCTAAGTTGTGAAGCGTCCTCTTGCCCTGGTCAGACTGAATATTAAAGAGATCTTCCGGTAGGTAGTGAGCCAGCAGAGCAGCAGTCAGTGAAGTGACGAGAGCAGCAGATGAGCCAAGACCCGTCTTGTTGGCATCACCCAAGGTCACAGGGAACTTGGCAAAGCGCCCTTGATGTGTGCTCTCGGATTCTGAGTGAGAGTAGTAATCATTGTCTGCGAGGATGATGAGACGAGCAGATGCCATGCTATGGCTGGGACGCTGCTTGGCCACTCGGTCGATGTAGGTGAGTGCATAGCTGAGAGTTGTCTCCACGAAGGGATTGGGGTTGATTTGAGCTCCACTGCTGATTAGTGAGTAAGATGAAGTAATTGCGTATAAGATAGAGTTTCTCGTGAGAAGTTCATGATCGGCTTTACTTATGTGGTGATCGTCGTCCAACCTATCATGAACTCCTATCGCTTTGAGTACTGGCAATTCATACAGTTTCATTGACGGTAACATAGCCTCACAATATTCACTCATCAATATGAAAGAAAAAGTTACTTACACCTGCAACTGAGTAACTTTGATACCACCTCCCTCACCAGCCAGGTGATAACCATACCGCCATTGTGCCTCCAGAAATTGCGGACTGTCAACCACAATCTCAGTGAGCTGAACTCCAGCAGTCGTGTGAATGTCTCCAGCGATGATGTTGATACGAGCGTCGAGGCCGAATACAAAAGCCGTGTACTCCTGGTCCAGTACGAGGTATCCGCCAGCGAGGAAGACCTTGCCAGGAGCTGAGACAGCGATGGTGGGGTGGTGGATGGACATTGTATATATGAGGTGTATATAAGAAGCCTTAAATAGCCAGGAAATAAGAAATAATCAATATTCAGGTGGTTGAATAAGAGAAAACGGAGAAATTACTCTCTATAGTTGTGAGTAAGCTCCTTACTTTGAATGCATGAGCAACGCAACCTGACAGATGAGAAGAATCATTAAACTCCAGCGGGGCCTCATTTCTAGACTGTACAGTGCATGTGACTTTAACACTGTAGTCTATTCATAGCCACACCGCAGAGAATCACCCAATAACAGCAGAGTTCACCAGAGTTTCAACCAAAACTGCTCAGGTCTAGTCAACACCAACAGTATCGTGATGATGCCAATTAGACGTCATTCAATCAAGTGATAAAAGCCTCATACTACTACGTGTCCCAGTCAAGATATGGTACTTTCAGGTATAACCATCAGAACTTCATCAACTCAAATCACATCACCAACAAGGACAGCTATGTTTGAAGACAAAATTGTCATTTCTTCATTTCTTGTATTGTATTGGTGGTACAAGCAGCAGGACCTTATGCTCTGCTTTTCCTTGACCAATTCTCTTCTTGGCCTTCATCTTTCCTCCCAGCTGGCCCCGTTCCCTGGCTCTTTTGGTCCCTCTATGCTGCTAACATGTAATGTAATATAATGATTTCCCTTTCTTGGAGTGGTGATGATCTATCCAGGGAACGCTTGGCCCCCAAACTCAATCATTTAGAGGCAAACGCTCCACGTAAGTCCCATTTTGATTCCCAAACGCCGTCCCTTTCAAGGGTCCAAGAAGATCCAAAACCTCTCGAGTATGACATTTCCTCAAAATGCCTTCCCCTGTATAAAAGACAACCAAACCAGCCCAGCCCAGCCAATCCCAGTCCAACCCAATCCCGCCTTCCAACCAGTACAATAGGGTATCAAACAAATTACGCCAACATGAAAAGAACATTACCACACTCTCATCACCAATCCCACATCGTAAAGTCATCTACTCCGAAGCATCATGTCCTCCGCCAAGAAGTTCCAGGACCTTGTTGACAACAGCACTGGGGTAACCACGGGTGAGCATCTCACCGACAACACCCTTGGCCTCCTCTCGCTGCTCAACAGCCAGGTAAGCTCGGGTCATAGCCTCGTATGTGCTAGGTTCGCGCTTCTCTCGGCCAACAGCATCGTAGATACCTTGAGCCTTCTCAATCTTCTTCTCAGCAGCCCAGCCATGAATCAAAGTGTTGGCGATGTAAGGGGTTAGTTCCACACCCTTGTTCCGCATGTGGGCAAGCACAGGCTCAGAAGCAGCAACTTGGTGGTTGGCAACCATGGCCTCAAACAGAGCTTGATATAGGCTAGCACTGATGGGAACAAGAGACTCCTTGACAACAGAATCAAACATCTTCATGGCACCTTCCATGTCGTGGAGAACACATCCCCTCGCGTGGATGAGAGAAGCATAGTGAACAGGCTCAACGCGCTGACCAGAGGCACGGATCATGCCGAGAACCTCCTCAGCAGCATCCATGTCAACAGGATCAAGAGTAGCGTGAGTATCGACCAGAAGCTTATAGGTATGGGCGGTAGGGGCAATGCCCTTAGCCTTCATGCGCTCATAGTAAGCCAAAACCTTTGTCTTATCTCGCTTTGTGGTCAGGAAAAATTGCATCATACTGTTATAAGGAGCAGGACGAGCTTTGTAGTTTGGCATCGCCTCCATCTCGTCGAACAGTGTTTCAGCGAACTTCTCATCACTGACTCGGCAGAGAGCGTTGACAATAGTACCATAGGTAACCGAGGTAGGCTTGATTCCAAGAGCTCTCATCTCAGCAAAGTAGAAAAGGCAGTCGTCGATGCGGCGAGCCTTTCCGAGCTTACCGATAAGAGCGTTATACAAGAAAGAGCTGGGCTCAACACCCTCAGCCTTTGCCCGGTGGAAGATGCGGACCGCCTCGGAAGCCTCGTCGAAAGTCTTAGTCGAATCTTTAAGCGTGGTAATGTAGAGGCCGAAAGTGTTGGCAGAAGGGCTAGCACCGATTTCCAACAACTCCTGGTGAAATTGCTCAGCACGTCCACGGTTGCCCACGGTCAGACAAGCGCCGACCATGGCGTCAAGAATGCTAGACCATCCATATCGAACAACAGCATACTGGGGCATGATGGGCATATCAGTGCGAGCCATGCTGAGAATGTCATGGCAAAGATCGAACTTGCCATCACGAGCAGCAGCAGAGATAAGCTTAGCGTAGGTAATGTAACGAGGATGTCGGCCAGCACGTCGGATATTGCGGAAGCGGTTGAATGCCTCACTAAGACGAGGTCCCTTGCGGCCATGGTTACCCTCAAGATCGTCCGCAATGAGGGAGGATCCTTTAAAGTCAGTGTTGTGGGCGTAAGGGTCGTAGGTGTCCTCGAAGGCGGAAACTGCAGGAGTCGACAGGTAAGGAGAAGCGGTCATAGGCTGGAAGCTGGCAACTTGAGAAGCGATCTCGCGGGGATCGGGGATGCCACGAGTCTCCATGAAGCGAGAGACGAATTCAGCTCCTTCGTCAACCTCTTCGACAAGATGGGGTTGAGTCTGAGAAACAGAGGCGCGAATACGCTGAAACATCATCTCAGATTGTGCCAAACCCTCGGCGACCTGACCAGAGCCAATCATGGCCACGGCATACATAGCCGTAGGCTCGATGAAAGAAAGATCCACCTGCACACCAGGGTTGCACAGGACCTGCCAGTACTTGGAGGCACCAACAACATCGGTCTGGCGGACATTCATAGCGAGGAGAGCAGTTGCAGGAGTGATCAAGTCATCAGCGTAAGGAGGCATGGCGCTGTATGCTGCAACAGCGGTGTCCTTATCACCCTTGTCGGCAGCAATAGTTGCAATCTCACTCATGGCTTTGGCGCGGGCTTCATCCGCAACGGAACGAGCCCATTCCAAAGCTTCCTGGTAGATACCTCGGGTGATTAAACCCTTGACGAAGCCAGTGGTGATCAGAGCATCCTTGATGTCAGCAGCGCGGACGCCATACTGGTCGACAATCTTCTGAAAGAACTTCATGGCGCCCTCAATCTTATCAGTAACCACGTAGGCATTGATAACCGCGGCATAAACCTCGGCATCGAGTCGGTCGTTGAGAGTAGTCTCTCCGTCGTCGTGGGCAATAGCCAGGTTGCGGTATTCGTTGTAGCATTCGACAGCACTGACCAAATCTCCGGACGAGGCGAAAGCAGTGATCATGGTGGGAAACAAAGCGGCGTAAGGGACGATTTGACTTCCCTCCATGTGCTCGTAAAGACGCAGCATGTCATCCACGCGTCCGTCTTTAGCACAGGCGGTGATAAGCTGATGGTAAGTCTCGGCGGTGAAGTTAGCGGCATCAGTGTTGATGGAAGTATCGAACAGCTGGATTGCAAGATCGAGACGGTCGTCCTCGCAAAGAATAGCATGCTCGAGTTCGTGAGACGCAAGCATGAATTGGCCAACCTGATCCATACCACCAAACCGAACTCGCTTGGCCTCCAAGGCAGCCTTCAACTCAGCAACCTCGAGACATCGGGATGCCAGGAGGCCCACTAGAATGTTAAAAGTCTCGGCATCCGGCGACACCTTCCTTCGAAGCATGTCGGCATAAACATCGAGTGCCTTGGATACGATCTCGATCTTCTTCATAGGAATATGGATAGCCGAGAGGAGGAGAGCGTTGTAGGCACCGGCGATAGGATGAACGCCAGTAGCCAGCATTGCCTCGAAGACTGCGGGAATCTCAACATATCGGCCATTCTCAGCGAGCTTGTGAAGATGGTCGGCATAAGACAGTGATTGGGGGTCAACAGGAGGAGTGAAGCTGCGAGCGACACTTGCTGGAGTTTGCGACCTGGAAATCACTGGAGATCGTGACTTGAAGCCAAGACTAGACACGGGTCGTCCTTCAGAGGCAGCATTCTCAACTGCTTCCTGTAGGCTCCGTACCTCGATCTCCCTCTCGAGCGCAGCATCGATATGCGCAAGAGCTGCCTGGTCCTCAATCGACAGGTTCGACTTGACCTCAGCATCCTCAATCAAAGCCTGCTCAAGAACATCTTTAGGAAGGCTCTGATCCTTGGTGAGAATGGAAGCAGGAGTAGGCTTCCATTCAATGCTCTTTTGGAAGTCGAATTGGGTCCATTCTGAATCGATTTCACCGGTGGACTGCTGGTGCTGCAAGGCCTCGAAGTACGCGTCTAGACCTCCATGGTTCTGGGCGGGGCGATGCTCAACGGACGGGAGGCCCGAAGATGCTGTACGCTCAGTGTGAAAGGCTGAATGAAGCTGGAGGTTAGAGAAGCGACCAAGTCGGTTGGTCTTTCGTCGGACAAAGCTAGGTCGGTTCTGAGAGTTGAGGACGTGAGGGTGAGCGGCAGCAACAACGGATTGAGCGTAACCGTGTGTTGTGATAGACTTTGCGAATGTTGATCCTTGACGGACGAAATTCGAGTAAAGGCTGGAGTATGTGGGCATTTAGAAACCACCCAGGGGGGAAGAGAGGAGACTATAGAGCCTCTAGGTCAGTAGCAAGAACAATCAGGTAAGTGATCACGATGCGTCTCAAGTATATTCAACTGCCGCTGACATTGTGCCTGAGCAATGCCAAACCTGGAGTGCAGTGGAACGATTATGAGATATGTGTCGGACCATGCGATCTGGGGAGGCGTGGGACAGTGGTGTGTGGTGGACCAACAAAACGCGACAATGGAGTTTGAAGTGGCACTTACATTAGAAAAAAAAAGGGAATATCAATTGCAGGTTCATTTGACAGCAACGACGCCGTCAAACAAACGCGCAGACCAGATTGATAGAATAATTATGAGGGGGGAGGGAAGATGGAAAGAAATGAAAAGAGATCAGATCGAAAAAAGAGACGAGAAAAATTAAGTCGTCTGGGGTTGGTTGTCTTGTCCTCGGGTGTTAGGATGGATGGGATGGAAGACGAGGGTGAATATTCGACATGGACCCGGGCCTTAGGGTCGGGGGAGTGGCTGCCTTTTTTTCTCTTTGCCTGAGGTGCAGTGGAGTGGATACTTTGGCGACACTTGAATCCAAAGAGTTACTGTGAAAGTTGCCCAGTTACATAGAAAATGTATGTGTCAAGAGGCAGCTTACAAGAGTCAGTGTGGGGA